TCTCCGACTCAGTTCATAATCTCTGTGCAACTTTTTATTATTAAACGAATCATAAATAAATAAATTTTTTGTCATAATAGCTACATATCCAATGTCCATCTAATGCGTTTAGACCTGACGAACTAAATAATATCTGTATATGTTTTTTATATTCTGATGCACATTGTATTGTATCAAGAGAGTACAATTTTTGTGTTTGCACAGGTCTATAATCTGAACAAGTTTTTAAAAGATGTGCAAAATGCTCCATATGTATATCATTTAACCATTCGCCTTGAGCAATAATACGTTTTTTGATCAGACGACAGCGTTATTTGTTTTTCCATTATAAATATTTTTATCTTTTAATTAAATATATTATAGGCGTATTGCCTAAGGATTGTGTTCGACTTGGTTGAAATATTGAGACCAATTTCTTAGAAAATATAATTTATTTTCCCTCGTCAGAGAAGTAGAGTAAAGTACAAGTTTTGTTTGATTTGCTTAAGTGCGCCAGAGGCGCTTTCTCGGCAAGAGTGTAAGGCCGAGAATCAAAAGAAAAATTGACGGGCGCGGTAAGAAATTACCGGCCGCGTCTTAGTGTGTTGAACGGGTCCTAAAAAGGACGGTTCAATTGAGTTAGCTCGTTGCAGCCCCTTTCCCGGCGTCGGTGGAACTCCGTTCGGGAAGTGGTCTTCCGTCTGACAACTGCTCTCTGAGCAGGCTCTGAGCGGTGAAGTCTGTACTGCGATGGATCGAGTCTCTGATGTGCTGGTGGTGGCAACCGTCTCGGCTCTCGGAATTGCGGATTGCTCCGTGTACCGAGGAGAGAGAGGTCTCCGAATTCGGATGTCGCCTTGTGTGAGCGTGTCCCTTGGTGGTCGAGTCAACCGGACGCAGAACTCTAGTGGGATTAATTTCCACACTAGAGACTGAGGAGGTGACGGCGAAATTGGAGTATCCGCGGGCCGCTTGGTTGAAATGTGCGGCCGATGCTGGGACTCTGTTTTCTTTTTACGCGCCTTGCGAGGCAGCGTGAGGAAAACTGCGAGACTATGTGTCTCTGGTTAGATTCTGCCGAGGCAGAGTACGACTCAGTTCAAGGGCCCTGGAGAGAGCTCGCCTTGAAGCGAGTGAGTGAGTAAAGATCTGCGGAGCAGCTTTTTTATATCCCTTCGATCGAAGCTTGATCGCGAGAAAGCTCTTCACCGCCTGCGCAACCTGGCGGTGTCTCCGCAAGCTCATAATCGTAGACGGCCTGCGGCACGTAGCGGCGCCGCGGCGTATTATACCGCGTCAGTGCAGCGGTGTGGCGGTGAGCCGCCACAATTATAATAACATTTTGTATTTATATTAACATATTTTAGGCTAGAAGATACACATTAGAAGACAAAATGTTTTGCATTTCAATTTATAAAAGGTCACCTTCTACATATAAGTTTTTATCCAAATATTTGTTTTGCCCGTCCTCTTCCATATTAAATAAACAATTACAACAAATTCCTTTTGATACTGGATGCAACAAAATTATCATACAATATTTAAAATTACTTGCAACTGAAATTGATCCTCAAGATCTAACATGTATACTTATATGGGATGAAATATCTATTCAACCTGCTATGCACTACGACAAAAAAACTGACAAAATCATAGGCTTCGAAGATTGGGGTAATAAAAGAACTCGAAAATTTGCCGATCACTGTATTGTTTTTTACATGAGATGTTTAGCATCAGGCAACCACATGCCAATTGGCTATGGATACTGCAGAGCATCAACAAATTCAATGCAATTATCAAAATGTATATATAGGCGTATAGCCTAAGGATTGTGTTCGACTTGGTTGAAATATTGAGACCAATTTCTTAGAAAAATATAATTTATTTTTCCTCGTCAGAGAAGTAGAGTAAAGTACAAGTTTTGTTTGATTTGCTTAAGTGCGCCAGAGGCGCTTTCTCGGCAAGAGTGTAAGGCCGAGAATCAAAAGAAAAATTGACGGGCGCGGTAAGAAATTACCGGCCGCGTCTTAGTGTGTTGAACGGGTCCTAAAAAGGACGGTTCAATTGAGTTAGCTCGTTGCAGCCCCTTTCCCGGCGTCGGTGGAACTCCGTTCGGGAAGTGGTCTTCCATCTGACAACTGCTCTCTGAGCAGGCTCTGAGCGGTGAAGTCTGTA